GTGCACTACTGCTTCTAGTGGTGAGAAAGTGTATTGCACCTTATTCAAAATCTATGCGGTCTCGCGGCGAGAAGGGGTTATCTGCAGAATCAAAGTGTCTAAACCATAAAAACTGTGGGCTACGAGGCCTACATGATGGTATCCTTAGACCCTGCTTGATGTCTTTACAGCCTGACCCTGACCCCAACACTAAGGTTAACCAGGAGAAATGTGACCCAAGTAGGGGTCTCCAGAAAAAGTGGTGCCGTACAGTAACGCCCCTTTTGTTCTTGTCCAATCAGGTGGTGCCGTATGGTGACGCCCCCTTTTTTGCTTGTCCAGTCAGGTGTGTCGCTTTAGAATCCACTTGCGTTGGGACACACTCACTCGTCCGCAGAGACCCCTACTTGGTGCGCTCTGCCATGAGGAAGTTCGGACACGTCCCAGGGGCGTTTCTGGTCCCCACCTGTTGTTTTGCTCCTCAGCATGGCTTCCTAAAAACGCTGCAGGATTTCTCAAACATGCATGAATGAGTGAAAGCAAGGCTTTGAGCATGTTTTTTTATGAGAGTGTAACATWATAACATAACACCCACATCTCCCCGATCCTAGCAGAACTTCACTGGCTTCCGGTTCAATTCAGAATCCGGTTCAAAATGCTGGTCCTCACCTTCAGAGCTCTTCATGGCCAAGCCCCTGAATACATTAAAAGTCTCATTTCACATTACAACCCCAGACGGGACCTCCGCTCACAGGATCAACATCTCCTTATGGTTCCCCTCACTCGCTTTAAGACCCGTGGTGACTGGTCCTTCTCCTCTGTGGCCCCCAGGCTCTGGAATGAATTCCCTTTTATTCTGTGCTCCAATGATAACATTGTCTCTTTCAAGACACTCCTAAAAACTCACTTTTTCTCTCAAGCGTTTAGCTAACCATTTCACCATTACTGCCAGCCTACCTCAAATGTAAATGCTCATCAATCTGTGTATTTAATTACTGAACTTACGCCATGTTTTTCTCTCCCTCATTCATTATGTTTTTGTGTATACTTTGCCCTGCATTGACCTTGTGTTTGATTTACAATTTTAGAATTTTTTTTGGATTTGATATTTTCAATTTTTCATTGCTTATGTGTAATTATGTTTTTCTGTTTCATCTTATTCTTTCCACCATTTTTATACTGTTTAAAAAATCTGTTGACCAGAAATCCTAACAGTTCAAAAATGTTTCACCATCCAGTTAAGATGTTATGCTAACATACACAAAGGACAGTTAATGCTACAATTTTACAGAAAAAATCCCATGAAATGCGCAACACTTGTTGTGAATGACTCTCAGCTAAAACCACGTCATATTTTATCCTGATGCGTCTCAGTAATCCAGGTACAAATCAAAAAGAAAAAAAATTGTGTAGGTCTTCTGGACGGGATGCTGTTAAGTGCCAGGAGGACTGCGACCAGTTATACATCGGGGAAACAAAGCAGCCACTGTTCAAAAGAATGTCCCAACACAGACGAGCTACGTCTAATGGCCAGAACTCTGCAGTTTTCACTCATTTACAGGCCAGCGRTCACTCTTTCAGAGATGAGGATGTTCTCATTCTTGATAGAGAGGAACGTTGGTTTGAGAGAGGAGTAAAAGAAGCCATTTTTGTGAAGAAAGACCGTCCATCATTAAACAGAGGTGGAGGCCTCCGTTTTCAGTTGTCCCCCTCCTACAGTGCTGCTATTGCCAGTATCACTCCACCTCCTGTTAACAATAGGTGTTAATTAGGTGTCAACGATAGCCATGTGATGTGAGTATCAGTCACACGGAGGCAGGGCTTAAAAGCCTGAATTTTGCATGAAACTCTCAGACTGAAGAAGTCTCTTGGAGGAGAGACGAAACGTTTCATTAGAGAAGAACCCGTCCAGAAGACCTATACAATTTTTTTCTTTTTCACGTCATATTTTAGCACAATATCTGTAAAACTGGCCGAATTAAAGCCTTTTTTGTTTGTTTGTTAATGTTAGTTTGCTGCTGTAGAGGTACATCTAATTATTATTTCCTAGTTGTTTCATTAAAATCAATATGGTAGTTCATGAGATATTTTGCTAACAGAAAGACAAAGCTGACTCAACATTTATGTGTGTGTGTTAAAAAATAATCTTCATTATAATCTTTCTAGAGGTTCATGAGGTTTTTTGATAAAGGATCACCAAATCTGTTTCTCGTGGCTACATAATGATAAGTTCTTTACACATTTAAACGTTGTTTAGACATTCTTACTGAACGACTTGTGAAGGGTCTCCATGCTTTCTGTAAACAAGAGCCTGGCAGGTCTGCGAGCAGCGTCCAGCTGAATGACTGAAGGGGGAAACATTAGCATCCAGGTGCCTTAAACACCTCAGAAAAGCACCGACGGAGCCTCTTTTACACACTGTCCGACTTCTTAAACACACGGTCTGAACTGGAAACCACATCTCGACACAGAACTGAACTTTTCTACTTATAAACAAAGCTTTTTACAAAAACGTGTGTAGTTTAAGGAGTAAAATCGCACTTTAGCCTCTGTGCCGCCGCCATATTGGATTTTACTCGTGGAAAGTTGAAAATATAAACAGAGAATGGCGCCCCCTGGTGGAAAACACTCGGTATTACATAAAATGGTACTGTTTCGAGTTTTTGCAAAAACCTGTTTATATGTATTTATTAAGAATGGAAAATGTAGGAAAGAGAATAGGGCCACTGGAAAAAAGAAAGAATTCTGACTTTTTTCCCCCAGAATTTTGACCTTGATCTATGAATTTTGAGGTTAATGTCAGAATTCTCACTTTAAACTAGCAATTCTAATCTCACTTTAATATTATAATTCTGAGATTAAAGCCAAAATTCTGAGATTAAAATCAGATTTTTTTTCCCAGTGTCCCTAAAACTTTCACAAAAATTCAGTGAATTTATTAAGATTTATTACATGCTTTAACCCAAGTTGTTTAAATTCTTAATGTGGGTATTATTTTGTATCCTGCTTTCTTGAATTTACAAGTTATTTTTGTTTCTTCTGTGCCCTTATGGAAAGGATATTTGGAAAAAGGGCAATCAGATACACTAATTGACATGTGACAGGAAGAAAAGGAACTCGGTCYTAATAAGAGACATCTAGTTCCAGGTGCAATACAACTGTTATGTCTTGTTATTCATCACCGTAATGCAGTGATATAAGTTTTTCCTCATCAGTATGCATTGCCAATGCAATGCATACTATTGTGATTCGTTTCCCATCCAAGTCATCTCAACTTTGCCATGCTTCTCTTCCTGCATACTTTGTCCTAGAGCTGCCATTCTAATTTATATCTGTAAAGCCCCTGTGCCAAATGATGGCTATGCCTTTTGGTGCCTGTAAAACTTATAGTTTTTGAAATATTAATGTTTAATAAATTATAATGACAGTCAATGGAGCCTTGTATTGGTCCAATACTGCCCCCTGCTGCATCTACACAATATGGTACTGCACCATGGTTTCATAATATTTTAACTCAGTAGTTCAGTGATTACAATATTAATATGATTGTATTTTGATGTTTTACTGTAATACTGTCTTTATGTTGTCCCATTGCTGTAATATATTGCACTTAAGTGTCAATAATTGCCTTGGCAAGGTAAACTTTTTCTGTATATAYACAATCCAATCCCTGGGATTGTCCTCTGCCACATCTCCTATAGTCTCATGATGAGCACTGTGGGCTTTCATGCGGGAGATCAGGGTTCAAATCCAACTACTGCAACTTTAACAAAAATCTTTAAACTTCATATTGTCACACAATTACCTTAATTACAAACACCTGCTGATGTGACAGGCACAAGCTGGTATAGAAACACATTTGAACTTGGTCAAAGTTCATTCTGAAAGTCCAATGCTCCTGACTACATTGTCCTACAGCTGCCATTGTAATTTCTATCTGTAAAGGTCCTGTGCCAAATGACTGCTATGCCTTCTGGTGCCTGTACAACTTGTAGGTTTTGAAATATTAATGTTGAAACTTTATTCCAAATTCATAAAATTGGAGTCAATGGGGACTTGTAATGGTCCAATACTGCCCCCAGCTGTACTCAACTTGGTACTGCACCATAGTTTTTTATATTTAATCTCAAYAGTTCAGTGTTTTCAATACAATGATTGTTGATGATTGTTGTAATGTTATGCAGTTTAGTGTCAATAATTGTATTGGCAATGTGGCCTCTTTCTGCATACATACAAACACCCTGCCACAGCTCCAACAGTCTAATGGTCTATGTCACGAGATTTCATGTGGGAGATCAGGTTTCAAAACCCAGCTAACGCAACTTTAACAAAAAATCTCTTCAAACTTCATATTGTCACACAATCACCTTAATTCTAAACACCTGCTGATGTGACAGGCACAAGCTGGTTTAGAAAACACATTTGAACTTGGTCAAAGTTCATTCTGCAAGTCCAATGCTGCAGGCAAAGCCATGCTGCAATAATATGCTACATGGCAATGCACACTTGTTTTTACATCGTAAAAACTCATGTCTAGTTATAAAAATATTTTAAATAATAAATCACTCAAATTAATATTATTGACATATTTATTATGAAATGAAGCAAAACTTTTACAAAAACATAATCACAGTAATAATTTGAAAATCTTACATGCAGCCCCCATCACTGAAAAACTAGCCATTWAGACAAGTTTAGTTTTATGGCAGTAAATACTGATACATTCATCATTAATAAATGCACATTTTTGTTTGGAAGTAGCAGTAAGCATTTACCTGATAAAACTCCACAAAAATCAACTGGCTGATGGTCACAAATTGAGATTAGTACAAGTAAAGAAAACTGTAACACAGAACATCTCAATGTGCTTTAAATGCTCTTATTCTCACAAGTTCTTCTTACATTTTAAAGGAATCCAACCCATTTAACACCCAAACATAAAATACCAATACAAAAATCATTAGAATTTTAAACAGTTTTTCTTTCTTTTACAATCACAACGTCTTGCATGAACTTCCCAAGTTTCCAGTAATGAGATAGAAACAGAGTACTGCAAAAATATATAATACTAAAATTCACTTGCATTCTAAGTATTGAGTGTCTACATCGCTGTCCAAGTTTGACAAATGAAATCATCAGTGCTGTCAGGTAAGGAAAATGTAACTCAGATTTTCTTTTTTAAAATAATGAAAAAGGAAAACGGGTTCTTCAAGTTAAGATGATAAAATGAAACTGACACCGCAATTTTAAAAAGTAAGTTTAAACTGAAACAAAAAAAAAAATGCACAAAACATTAAATCAATCCACCAAATGTCAGCACTTTTATTAACACATTTTATTTCTTTCAAAACCCGAATGGAATGATCAAAACAGCAACCTTTACACTTTGAAAAACTTGTTAGGTCACCAGTGGCACATTCGTTTTGTCAAAAGCATTGATAGTCTGAAACACCAATCATCAATGTACTGAGATGAGACAATACTTATAATATACTACAAGCCCCAGTCCCTGATATTCTACTACATCCCCATCTACGACGATTACAGAGGAAAGAATATATAAAGAGTGGAACATTTTCTTCAATAAAGGACATAAAAAACATCATCCTGTGAATGGAAAGATACGAGGAGCCAAGAAGCTTCAACATTAAAGGGATACTCCGTTCATTTCTGATGCGATATTGTCAAAAAGATTTTTAAAATACGGTACCTTATCTGTCATAAAGCGTGGACGTCACTTCAAAAATGAACAGACTCACTTTAACAGTTCGTAATCATTGCTTTTATGACCCGAAATTTTACAATCTTCTAACAACTGTCCTGTTATAAAAAAATAAACAGCATCAAAACACTCCTGAGGCCATTTTACATAAACATCATCATATTTTTTCACATTATGCGGATTAGCAGGCAACCCCTGCTTCCTGTTATGTTAAAACTCTTTGACTCCTTCCCTGAGTTCTGTCAGATTGATAATTCCTGAGATGAGCCCAACCATCAACAAGCTGTGAATGGTTTATCGAGAAACAACAAAATAAGCATGTATATATAAAAATATGGTATATGTGTTCAAAAGCAACTAAATTGAAATATATAAAACATAATAATGCATCTTACACCTGATTAGTGCAGAGTGGCTTTGTCATAGGTCTGTGTTTTGATGGGTTTTTATTTTCTAAAAAGCTCATTCTGCACATAAAAAAATCATAAAAGTAAAATAATAATAATAAAAGAAAATCACAGTTTATATCAGTCTTCATTATTCTGTACCTATACAGCATGTACTGCATATTCTTACCCTCAGGTTGCAATATATTACTGTTACATTGTAATTAGGCTGAATTAAATTAAGGAGAAATAGCAGATATTTACCAAGCACTTATATGTACAGAGTAACGACAGTACCATGATAGAAAAGCTACCCAGTTTTTTTCCCCCAAGTTATACAGTTTTTAAATGACCTGTCTCAATTTTTAAGCGGATCCACACGGACATTCGTCTCGACAAGGCTTCAATAGGAGCGCAGGAAGAAGCTGCAGCGCACTTTGATGAAAATAAATAAGTAGAATCAATCTTTTTTTTAAGACATTAGAATAATTTTACATATATATTAATTGGGTGTTAAAGTCTCAGTCAGCATCTCCTGTAAAACGGGAGTAAAATGCTGATTAGCTAGCTAGACCTACATGCTCCTCCTTGCAGGCTGGTTGCTCCTAAACTAGTCCCCTACAGAGGGTTTAAGACAGGTCATTTCTTAAACCTACCTAAAAACTGATCTTTACTAAATACAAATGAAAACACCAGCCTTCCCACTGACAATATCGTGTCTGATTTTGCCTCCTTCTCTCTCTCTTTCTTTCAAGTGGGAAGAGAGATATCCAAAAAATCTTAGTACCTCAGTTTGGGTCAAGTGTTTTATGATGATGCTTGTGTATTTGGGATTCTCCTAAATTCAAGATGAGGTAAAGCAGCAGTAATTTTCCCATCAGCAAATAAAAGTTGAGTACACTACAGATGGACCACTGATAATATCTGGAGATCTCTGAAACCTAAAGAGTCATCACGCCGTAAAGCACCGTTCTGCTGCTCTTAACTGACCTGCAAGTGATGGAAACACACTCACCGCCCACTTTATTAGGCACACTTGTAACTGCGTTATGCATATAAACATGCTCAAATTGAGCATCAGATTGTTGAAGTAAGAAAATTTAAATGACTTTTGATTGTGTTGTTAGTGCCAAACGGACTTATCTGAGTTTTTCAGCAACTGTTGATTTACTGAGATTTTCCTGAACCGTCTTTTAGGTTCACAGAAATCAGCCAGAAAAAGAGAAACCAACTAGTGAGAGGCAGCTGTATGGAAAAAAAAAAATTAAAAATAGGGGTGCACCTATAAATTGGATGACCGATTTTTTTGGTCTCGATTTCCTTAATTTTGGGAGATTGGCCGATTCTTACACGAGAAGCTGATCTTATCAGGTCTGAAAATCAGCTACTGTCCCATTTCTCTCTGCCGTGAGCACTACCTCATGTCCAGTTAAAACAAGGTTGTATTGTTTCAAGGGTATTGTTCTGTGTTTTTAAATACAATAATTGGAACACTGACAGTTATGTAAAAAAAATATTGGTGTCAACCAAAGTCAAAATCAGCAGGTCAGGCTTTTTAAAGATCATGATTGGACAGAAAATGGCAGTTGGTGCACCCCTTAAAAATATACTTGTTGATGTCAAAGGAAAAGGGGCAAACTGATTGAAGCAAGTGTGCTACAACAGTAGATCACATTGAGCACTACTCCTGTTAATACTGATTCTACAATAAACTGGACAATAAGAGGCTGGAAAAATATCGGCTAGTCTACTTGAACAGCGTCCACGGTCGGCATCTTGTTGAATGTTTGCTATAAAGAATTAAGACATTTCTCAAGGCAAAAAAAGGTCCAATCAGATACAAAGGAAGGTTTAAAGTGGATAGTGAGTGCATTTTTTACACACTGAACAGTTGTGAAACTCAAGCACCGTGCCTGCAACCAATCCTGACATCCGACCAAAACCTGTTATTTTTGGTCACCTTCGAAATGGAATAAAACAGAAATAATAATATTTAGAAGCAGGCTCCCCTTATATTTTAATACTGACAAACTGAGAATGAATCATATCATTTCTGCAACTTTGTGGAAATGATATTCAGACAAAAACTCCACTGCTGAAACAACTGACCAAGATTGGTTTTATGTTTGAAACGTAACCTTAAATGAGAAGTGTGCTGTAAAAACCATCTCCCAATCTCGCTCGTTTTAACAGCACAAACTCATGTTTGGATTTTCTTATTAGTCTTCATTCTGATTCCAATAGGCCTTTAAATAAACCTGCAGAGAGCAGCTGAGCAGGATTTTCAGGGGATGTTGAGCCAGTCCTTAAACTCGCATGGTACAGATTATTTCAGTTGCATACTGTAGTGCAAAAAAGATGCAATTTAATCCCAACTAAAATCACCTATATTCAAATCTATGTTTGGTTTGCCATCAGCAGCTATGGTGATGGCTTAGATCAAACATGCACCAGTGAGGTAGACCAGACCAGCCAGCAAAATGCTGAGTGGAAACAAAAACAAAAAACAAAACAGAAAAAAAATAACATAAAACTGACCAAAAACTGGAAACCATTTTTTGGTCTGACATTCATTTGGCCCCCAAAAACTAGATGGTCAACTGCAATATTGGCAAATGTCAGTACATTGCCTACACCTATACCCTTAAACCCGTCACAAGTTCTCTTTATGATGGTCACTTCTTCTTCTTCTTCTTTTTTTTTTTAGATACGTAGTCTTAACATTCATTACAGTAGCCGTTACAGCTTTGCCTTGTCAACAGAAAGGAGTAACAGTCAGGAAGGTGATTAACTGGTAAGGCAGCAAAAGTGTAACTCTTTGATAGCTATACTTTTACAAAATAAAAAATAAAAAGAATTTATAAAAACCCACAAGAAAATGCAGCACCGCTAAAAGGAAATCCGCAAACGCTTGTGAAGATCGTTCGTTACGTGGTAAAGTTCTCTACAGTCTCAAACAACTCYAATAGCAGTAATTACTACATTTAATAAGCTTCCTGAGTGCAATAATACAGCAGTATTCCTGAGTGTTACGCCAAATGAAAATACTATTAATAAAAAAACTTTTTTTTCTACCTGAGGTAATTCCAAAAGCGGCTTCAATAGCTGGGGAGGGGGATTGGGTCTCCCCTCCCTTCAGCCATCGAAGCAGTTTGATTGGCTTCTGTGCTTCAGCGTGATCCCATCTCCCGCTTACTCCGAGGACTCAGGAGGTGGTGCCGACTGGCTGTGCTCCCCTTCGTCTGCTGTTGAAGGGGACAGTTTTCCCTGAGAGGCCGGTGAGGACTGTTGTGCTTTGACCGGGCAGCTGGCGACCATGTGGTCAATGCTCTGGCAGAAGTGGCACCTCTTGGGTTGGGGAGGTAACTTGCACTCTTTGGCGTGGTGGTCCAGGCCTCCGCAGTTATAGCATCTACAGGGCATAAGAAATGTTTTATTGCATCAGCACCTGAGAAAGACTCGTTTGTAAATTGGGAGTGAACACATTCATTTTTAGACGTACGTAAAACAATTTAAACTAGATATTTTTGAGGTACAGAAAAAGCTTGTTGTCCTCCAAGAACGTCTATGGTTATGTTGGAGATTCCTTAGATGATAAGCTGTTTACTACAGCACATATTTAAAGTGCCTGTGACATCAAATTTTCGTAATAAATGTGAATGCGTTTTTGGAAAGAGAACATTGATAACATATTGCAAAACAATTTTCACATCATTAAGATGAACACTTATTGAGATATTTGTATGTGAAGAAACAGGAAGTGATGTCAAAGGGGAATGTCTGCATGTAAACAGAGCGATGCTACAATAATTAGAGAAAAATCTGATGTTTCCTTAGATTATTTTGAGTCACTATTAGGGTTAAAGAAGAGTTTAAATAAGATTGTTTAAATAAACAAAGACTAGAGTGCTTCTTTTCTTAAAGGGATCCATGATTAGTTGTAAAATTAGACTTTATTTGATAAACATTTATTTTAACTGTAAAATAAAGACTAAAAATACTGTAGGCTGTTTTTAGTTTTGTAAATTTTTAAAAATATATTTTAACACGGACGGAGCCATTTTATTTACATACAAAGCATTCTGGGTAAATGATGACATCAACTAGGTCATCGGTGTGAGCGAGCTACATCCACCCTGAAGGTTAATCTTGGACAATATCTGATGATCGACTCTTTTAAATGAAACCAGAGAGCGTTGACAGAGAGGAGAAGGTAGAAATGACTCAGCCTGTAACTGAAAATATGGATGGAGGACAACAGAGCTGCTTCATGGAAGAAGAACCTCAGCTTAGCCTGTTAGCCTTTGTGCTAGCACTGACGCTATATTGCCTTAAATGTATTAGCTTGGTGCTAGCGCAGCAAACTAAAAAGCTAAACTGAGGTCCTCCATCCATATTTTCAGTTGCAGGTTGAGTCATTTCTACCTTCTCCTCTCTGTCATGTGGATGGAGGACCTCAGTGACGAGAGGAGAATGTGTAGCGCTGAGCTAATACATATATATGGTGATAGCGTCGGGGCTAATGCTAAAGCTAACAGGCTAAGCTGAGGTTCTTCTTCCATGAAGCAGCTCTGTTGTCCTCCATCCATATTTTCAGTTCCAGGCTGAGTCATTTCCACCTTCTCCTCTCTGTCAACGCTCTCTGGTTTCATTTAAAAGAGTCGATCATCAGATATTGTCCAAGATTTACCTTCGGGTGGATAAAGCTCGTTAGCAGCCTCGCACCGAGGACCTAGTTGACATCATCATTTACCCAGAATGCTTTGCATGTAAATAAAATGGCCCCGTCCGTGTAATATATTTTTAAACTTTTAGTTTAAAATTATAAAAACTAAACAGCCTACAATATTTTACAGTCTTTATTTTACAGTTAAMGTATATGTTTATTAAATAAAGTCTAACGTTACAAAAAATTGGGGATCCCTTTAAAGAGTTCCCCTTTGATGTCACTTCCTATTATATGCCAGTTATGAGACAAAATGGGTAAAATCATGTGTATGATGCTAATTTTCTTAAATATAAATGTTTTCGATGGCTTTTTGTATTTTAAGGATAAGCATGTCACAGGCCCTTTAAAAAAGCAGCAGCACATTCCACATCATCTGGTGCTTTAAGTTTCACCGGTTTGCCACTAGAGGGCAACGTTTCACCAGGTGTGACCTCAGTTAAACCTACATCTTTAAAGGGCATCCCGGGGCACGACACACAAGCTTCACGAGGGAGTTGAAGCATTTCATGGCTGTTCATCTCACTCAGATGAGCCCARCTTATCACTAAAATGTACAACATCTTCACATCAACGCTTTAATCATGCAGGAGTTTTTTTTAGCTGAATTTTTCAAGTGTGGTGAGCAGCTTGTGTTATTTGTCAGTTTGACACTGACAGAAGCTTCCGAACGGGCGCTATTGTATCTAAGCGTGGCATCCGTTTCATCGGCATTGAACTTTTGAAACAAACGCACTGTGGGGTCGTTTATGGCCATCAGGGTGCCGTGGGCCACCGCTGCTCGGACATGATCTATAGAAGGGCCACGCGCACAGGGGTGGAAGACAGATGGGCTGTGGGCGTGTGGCAGTTATTCGGTGACTTAGCGGACCCCCGCCCTCCTTCTTGCCACCTTAGCGATGGCAGATGAGGTTTGAACGGGGCGGCTGCCGTGGGGTCAGAAAGGCTTTTGTTTTTTGGGGGCGTTCGGAGCGGTGTCAAGGTCTACACCATCACATCACAGCAGCAGCCTAGCTCAGCATCCATCAGGAGGAAAGTGGAAGTGGTCCCTTTGTCTAAAAAAAGCTGCAGTAATGACCTCTGAACCCTGACCTCCCACCTCCCCCCCGTTCCCGTTCGAGCCCCCCAGCTCTCTTTCCTTTTATTCATACACAGTTGCTATGCCAACAATGACCCTTCACCCTCTTGCCTGGGCTCTTGCATCTGTTATCAATTAAATGGACAGGAACTTTTTCCTCTTCCTCACTTATTTATACGTAAGGGTGGTTCATGACGTGCGGACCTTAAACACACCGCGTCTTAATGAGCAAAACTAACTTCAAACTGGACAGCTAGAACGCAACAGAATACTCCTTAAATCTTAAACAAAATTGTGTTTTTAATTGTTTCTTGGCTAGCCCAATTCAAATCTACAATCTGATGCTGCATAATGAAACAGGCATGAAACATTTGTGTCCTATTCAGGAATCGGTGCAGTGGATGAAGAAGTATTGAACCATGGTGGCCTCTCAGGACTCTTTGAGGCAGTAATGATCTCTGTTCTCACACTCACTTCTCTCTGGTTGTAATCACAACTGACACGAGGTAAAGCTGATACGTCTTTAACCTACTCCCATCATAGACGCTCAAAAAAAACAACAACCCAACAACAACAACAACAACGCAAAAATCCCGATTTGGGTAGCTGTTTTTTTTCTTCTTCTTTTGTTTTAAAAGTATAGGTCATACAGAGAGTTTATCTTTCAGGTTTGAAACTGTTTTTACTTTCAAAGCATCTAAATATCTCTTCATGAAACACTGAAATTAACTAAATGAAGAGGTGCGGATAGACTGATATCAGCAAACCCATAGATTCAAGCGCAGACTTACAACCTGTAAGGAGAAATGTTATTAAAACTACAAGTCTGCTCATGAGTTATTAGTTTTGGTTTAGGAAAACGATGATGTTTGGTAGGAGCGGTCCAGTAACAGAAGGGAGAAAGTGGGTTGGTTTGAATTCACGAGGGAGCAGCAGATTTAAACAGTTATTGATCCAGGTCACACGTCAGGCCTGCCGATGTGACCCTTGCTGGGGCTGGAAGTAGGGGGTTGGGATCCAGGGGGGAAAAAAAGGACTAAAAAATGGGGAGTAACTACAAAAAAATTTAACATGYTACCCAAGCTGAGCACATCAATGATTGTGTGCTGCAAGCATCAGATTCACAAAGCCTATAGGCAACTCCAGTAGATTAAAGATCATTTGAAAGATTGATAAAACTGAAAACTGTTCGATTTGTAACAACGGGAATGTTTGGACGTGCATAGATTTTTTTTCCAGAAGGTGTTTATGCACAATTTCCTCGTCACTGGAAGCAATTGCTATTTTTCCCAGTGTAAAGTGAAGTTGTAAATTGTGACTATTTATGAATAAAACTTGGTAAAATGACAGGATAACACAATCTGACAACTTTCAAGAACAGTATGAAGATATTGCTTGTGTTTATGGCTGAAAACCTTGAAACCATTTATAACTGTTATTAGGAAGTTATTTTACTATTAGGAGTTTTTATGTTACGCAACCAAACATGTATAGCATATAGCCAATGTTACATGTTACATAATATACCCTAAGTTTGATCATTTCCGAGCTAAAAAGATTATCCCCTGTTTTTTCTTGGTACGCCCGTRCTCACCTGTCTCCCTTGGAGCGCCGCTTTTGGACCTTTTTGCCTTTGGGTCTCCGCTCGCTGCCCACACAGTGGATGCCTCCCGGTCCGGTGACTCGCTGCGACTCCAGGCCCTTCGACGACTTCTTGAACGTAAACTCGACTGCCTCCCCTTCCTTCAGGCTGCGGAAACCATCCATGTGCAACTTGCTCTGAGAGGAAACAAAGAGGCGATTTGTCAGCCTTCACATGACGTGGGTTTACAATTTAGTGACAGGAAACGTCCAAGACATTTTTATATATATATA